CCTTGGATGAAATGACAATCGCATTCAGGGGAAGGTCAACATTGAAATTGTAAAACCCCAAAAAACCTGATAAATATGGCTACAAAGCATTTGTGTTGAGTGAGTCCAACTCAGGTTATGTAATAGAGTGGTGCCTCTACAGTGGCAAAAATACAACGGATGAGGACAATTTAGGGGCAACACATCATATTGTCCGTCAGCTGCTTGCCCCGCACACTGGGAAAGGGCATGAGGTGTACATGGACAGCTACTACACATCACCAGCCTTAGCTATTGAGTTAGCCGCTAGAGACACCGGACTGTCTGGGACAGTGAATTGCAATAGAAGAGGGATGCCAAAGGGGCTGAAACCAGCTCAGTTGCATCTGAGAAGGGGTGATGACCCAGTGTTCATGCGGAATGATAAACTGCTGGCTTGTGCTTGGCATGACACAAAGCGTCTAACTCTGCTGTCCAACATTCATGGTAATACAGTCACCCAAAAACAAATCCGGACAAAGGAAAATGTGACTGGGTTCCGTCAAATTATGAAACCAGCTTGTGTGGACAGTTACAACTCCTTTATGGGAGGAGTTGATACAGCGGATCAACGAATGAAAACATATCTGTTTCCGCACAGATCTAGAAAATGGTACAATCGTATTTTTGATGCGGTTCTGAGCATCAGTGTGGTCAATGCACACATCATTTATTCACGCTGTAGTCCTGGTCCTCATAAACCACTGAAGGCCTTTATTCAGGACATTATGACATCTTGGCTTGAGGGCTTCTCCAAAAAGGAAGGCAAAAAAACAGGACGTCCTTCAATGGAGCAGGGCGAAATGCCACAGAGGCTCACTGAACGTCACTGGCTCTGTAACACAGAGGAACGTCCAGATTGTGTTGTGTGTTCAGATCGCACCCAACCTAAAGGCCGTCGACAAACCCAATACAGGTGCAGTCAGTGTGGAGTAGGTCTTTGTGCTGTGCCTTGCAATGAAAGATACCACACACTGAAAAACTATAAGGAGTGTCATCTTGATCAGTGAAGGTCTTTGAAAATACATTTCCATATGGCCGCATACCAGCGCTAAAAGATTATACAAATTGGATCAGTGAACATATTTATATCCCAAATTCTTTCCCAAATGTTATTTCATACTCATATTGACTTTTTACATTATTCCCTTATCTCAAACCGCGCTCAAACTACAGCGTTTTCAAAAAAAAAAAAAAAAAAAAACATTTTCCAAAATGGCCGCCACCTTGTGACGTCACAATATGCAAATTAGATGACGAATCAACTTCCATCCCAAACTTTGGTTCATACTGAAGATATCTCTCATTTACAGTATGCCTTTATCTCAAACCACTTTAAAGTTATAGCCTTTTGAAAACTTGATATCAAAATTGTACATTTTCTCAAAAAAAGTCCGGCGCCTAAAGGGTTAAAACTACACAATGATAGACGGCAGCTTAAATCAAAACTGCAGTCACTTCAAAATGTGTTAAATGAATAGTCTATCGATCTAGGGCCGAGCTGAAGTTTTAGTTGATAAATTGATGGCATTTTGGTTGACCTATGTATGAAGGATTCTGTGCCAAAATGATCGGAGCTATTTTAGACATCAAAGCCACATGTTTATCTTTTTTTTTAGAGAAAGATGCAAAAGCTTTAAACAAATTTTCCGCAAAAACGTGTGCCCCAAATTTTGTGGTGCCAAAATTAACTAGGCACCACTGACGACGATTTGACTGACAATTTTGTTTTATTTAGTTTATTTGTGCAACCATGAGACATTAAAACAGACTAAAAGTACAAACGATTGTCACAAGACGGGTAGCATATACAATAAGGTGCAGAAACAACCATTGAAGTGCTTTCAGATGACATCAGTATTTAACTATATAAAAGGAATTAGAATTCATTTGAATTACCAATTATTTAACCTGTAACCTTAGTGTTCAATTCATCAACTAAAAAGAGGATTATAATTTGTTCTCTGAAGTACAGATGTCTAGTACTTTCTACCAAAAATGCCAATCTGTTGTGTTCAAAAATTGTGTTCCTTGGCCTGTCACAATAACTATTTTTGTTAGACTAGTGCTTTTGCAATGCAGCAGGGCTAATCTGAACTACGCTAACTATACATATATGAATGCACCATTTTAGTTCCCTTTTGTTTAATGAGATGCAAAAAATATCATTGTGATGGAGAGCATTGTTTTACAAAAAATGTTGAACATGATTTAAAATTTTTTTTACAAATATAATCAAACATCATAAAGGTGCTTTGTAATTTTCTTTTAAATACATTATTCAATCTTCATTTACAGATAAATATTGAGTCAAACTAGTAATTCGCTACTTGCCCACTACCGTATTGCATTGTGAGCTTAAAGGAATAGGCCAGTTTTAACATACTGACATATGTTCTTAACTTACCTTAGACTAGTTGATATGTACCTGTCTGGTCTTTGTCCATGCGCTCTGTCATGCAAACGCACAAACTTCCATATACTGTATAGTAACGGAATCAGCTCCCGGTTAGAAGCTACAACTCTTTCACGTGTTCCCTATTTAAATAGTTACGTTTTACACTACCAAGTATAGTAACACAGAAATGTAACATGTCGATTTTCTCAGCAGATAAAAAGGGGAACTATATTGTGAGGCGTAATAATACGAGGAGCTCGTAATAGTCCGCCCACTAACTCCTATAGACTTCTCTCCCGCTCACTTCCGTCAATAGAAGCAGCAGGAGCGGGAGAGAAGTCTATAGGAGTTAGTGGGCGGACGTAGCCTCCTTGTATTATTACGCCTCACAATATAGTTCCCCTTTTTATCCGATGAGAAAATCGACATGTTACATTTCTGTGTTACTATACTTGGTAGTGTAAAACACCACGTAACTGTATTTAAATAGGGAACACGTGGAAGAGTTTGGGAGCTTCTAAACGGGAGCTGATTCCGTTACTATACAGAATGTGGAAGAGGCTGCGTTTGTGCTCCGCTTGCATGACAGCACGGACAAAGACCACACAGGTACATATCAACTAGTCTAAGGTAAGGGAAGAACATGTCAGTATGTAAAAGCGGTGGCCTATTCCTTTAAAACTTAGAGCCTGATATTAGCTTCCCTAAACCTTGCGAGAAGTTTAAACTCGACACACACAATCTTAAACAAACCTGTTCCTTATAACTTAATACAGCCTATATTGGTTACCCCCAGCGCTGCTAAGCATTATGGGATTTGTGCAAGTAGTGACTATAATTGTGACAAGCCTGATGTTTCCTTAAATGTTATAAACTGGTTTCAGAGACTAGTTGTATAAGAGGTGATCTTTTGTCAATAAACATGTTCATTGGGAGAAGGTGTTTGATACTTTATTTTATAAATCATTTTAGTCTTACCTCAATGTAAAGCAAACCATTTAAAATGGGTTTATGAGAGTGAAGCAAACAATTTAAAATGGGTTTATGAGAGTGAAGCTATTGGGTACAACATTTGAAACCATAGAGTTAAGGTGTATCAAATGTATAAGTAAAATTAACCTATTTAAATAAGTCCCGAGTAATGCAGCATTTGAGTATGGAGACTATTTTATTTGAGTTTACATGTTTGTGCAGTAAGTCCAATTCATTAACTTAATCAATTTTTTAACCCAAGTATTTGAGTTCACATGATCATTTCAATTTGAGTACTGGTAGAACTTCATTGGTTTAAGTTGATTAACTAAACGTATTAGTGGAATCAGTTTCCTCAAATCATTTGAGTCCATCTAACCTGTTGGGTTTTACAGTGTACGCCTCACAATATAGAACCCGTTTTATCCGCTGAGAAAATCGACAGTTACATTTCTGTGTTACTATACTTTGCAGTGTAACACGTCACGTAACTATATACATTTAATAGGGAACACTTGGAAGAGTTTGGTAGCTTCTAGCGGGAGCTACCTTTTGGGTACTATACAGTATACAGAGGAGGCTGCGTTTGTGCTCCCGTTTTTGCTCCGTTTGCATGACAGAGCGCACGGACTAAGACCAGACAGGTACGTATTAACTAGTCTAAGGTAAGGTAAGAACATATGTCAGTATGTAAAAACGGTGAACTATTCCTTTAAGTTAGAGTTACATCAGATTCCACTCCATTCATTTTTGTAAAGCCCTAAATCACAGCAGAAGTTATAACTTCTTTGATATATCAAAGTTGTCAATTCACCAACACAGATCAGAGAATCAGCTCAAGGGGCAGATGAGCAATGTTCATAAATGTTAAACGTATAAAGGAGAATATTCCCCAAGACCAGAGACTTTTTGAACCAAACTCCCTGGTCTTATTTGAAGAGCACGTATCACCAGAATGATTGACAGTTAGAAGGACCAATAGTCTGGAGAATCCACAGACTATTGGTCCAAATGTCCTGGATCACCACTGTCCTTAAACCCTTCAGCAAGGAACAACTCAAAAACCCAGAGGGAAAACGTGACATCACAGCCTAACACATGTAAGTTGTTTATATAAGTGGGGGTCGCGAATCGGTTTCATGCCTTGTTTGGGTTCCCAGCCTGAAAAGTTATGGAACCCCAGTCTTATTAAAGCTCTTGACATATTTTCCTCCTTTTTCCAAAGGATTCTCAAGCAAAAATGTCGACATGTAAAGCCAGACGAGAAGCTAGAGATGCCAATGACATGGTTTGTGTTACACAGCATTCTCACAGACATCTTTTAGGTGCATGTAAATCCGCATTACACCCTATTTGTTTTCCCCAGTGCTGTCTAAGCCGGACAAATGCAGTCCGGATTTACCAGTGCGTGTGTTGGCACCACCACACAGCCTCCTATATTCCCCTGAGCTCGGATGGGATCAAGACCAGAGGAATGCGGCCTCCGATAGGGATCATAAAAGCAGCTAATGTACAGCAGGCTTCTTATACGGGCTCCGACGCACATGTGAGCTAAGCGTGTGCATGTGGGTCTGGAAGGAAAAAGTTGAAAGAAGAGAAAACACACACTTACTTTCCAACTTCAGCAATGACAGGAGCCGGGCAGAGTAAGAAGGTGTCCTCGACGCTGGCTGGTTTCTCATCTGGAGGCCAAATATTGTAGTGTTAGTTGTAAATCAGTCACGTTAAGATTCAGTTTCAGTTTAGTTAATTTCAAAAGGGACGATGCAATTTAGAAAAACACTTCATTAGAGTAAGAAAAGCCAGAATTAGCCAAGACGGCGATTTTTCATCTGTTGCCCCTAGCCCCTGGCCATGATGTCAAAAAGCCATTCAAATACATTAACATAACAACAAGACAGAGACAACATGAGTCAAGACTAACATTATAGTGCTGACACATTAATCGACATTCATTCAAGATTACACAAGAAGATCGTAAAAGTCCCTAGATCAAGTTTGTAGAGCTTTGAACGCAGCTAATATCTTCCTACTCCACGATTCTCTCTCACATCAGTTTCTGTATCACCTGCTGGTCCCAGGTCCCACTGTCCACCGTCAAACCAGTGATTCTCCACCACAGAGACAGAAAAATATTGGTCTAAAAGCCAATTAAAACAGAGCGTTCACGTGCCTGGATGAAGGCCAGAGAGTGGTCGAAATGCGGCGCTATGTCCCTTCTACAATAAAGGGTTTTTAAGTTAAGACAGAGTGCCTCGAGTCTTTTCCTCTTTGCTTTCCACATGATTTTCCGGAGCCTCGAAGAGCACTTGACTTCCCACGTTTACCCTGTATTATATTTTTGTTGATCCCCGTATGCACTCACTCCTCTTTTGTTTTTGAAGGACACACCATTGTATTGATCATTTTATTAAATTCTGTAATTGTTTATGATTGTGTACTTGTTTGCACCGTTGCGCCCCCTGCTGTCCTGAGTGCTCTTTGTTCCTCTGAGGTCTTCAGGCTCCATCACACGAGGATCCTTCAACAGAAATGTGAAGGTGCCCCTCAGGAGAACCACATTCGGACAGTCGGTCGAATCTGTCCAGGGGGCAAAGCTCTGGAACTCTCTCCAGGCAGGCGTTGCAGATTTGCAACAACTTAATTTCTGTTTACTTAACTACTCCACATCCACATTAGATATTGTGTTTTTCTCAGAAGTACCACTGCTGGACTTGGTTGAGCTTTAGCAACACATATTGTTCCACCTGCTCACCAGGGGGCGCAGCTGTGTCACTTCCAAGATGTCAGTCTTTTCTAGGCATCAATTTAATGAAAGATGAATGTAAATAGATTAGTAGATTAGATCTCCTCTGGGTTTTTCATCAGCTCTATTTACTACAGCAGGCCAATGTTGCAAATCTGCAACATCCCAGAATGCATTGCCTGTGAAGGTCTTGTATAATACAAGCCCAGAAAATGTTCCCAAATATCAGATTTCCTGTCATTGAAATTTAAATGGATCCAGTTTAAAAAAAATGCCCAGATGTTTATATTAAGCCCCAAAATATAGTGCTCCATCCTTTCACTTATGAACCTAGCTAGCAATGATCATGACGGGCCTCGCTCTGGGTGAGAGGGGAAACAAAACAGCATTAGCTCGTCTTATTTAGCTACTTCTGTTCATTTACACTCAGAATGGTTGAGCCGACTTTTGGTTTTTGTCGAGTTTTTACAGATTTAAATCCAAAGGTTTTATTCAGATGATATTTTACATGTGTTGGTGGTGATCCTGAATATAAACTACATTATACTGGTGCACATGGATGATCCTGAATATAAACTACATTATACTGGTGCACATGGATGATCCTGAATATAAACTACATTATACTGGTGCACATGGATGATCCTGAATATAAACTACATTATACTGGTGCACATGGAGGTGTAGTTGTGCATGATTTTCTCGTGAAACTGTCGATCTTTAGTGCGTGTGCTTGTACTCACTGATGGTCACCGTGTCGTTGACTTTGAAGCTGCACAGAACCTGGTCGATGTTTCTGGCGTGAAGAAACCCGTTTCCTCGAACAACAACTTGGAACGACTCTAGACACAAAACAGGAAACACACGTAATGACCACACACGGCGAAAAGTGACAAAAAATAAGTCAAAGATGCCTCGAATTTGGCAAAATGTATTTTAATTTGAGCACATTCTGACTGAGCAGAAAGACGAGATTTTCCAACGGGACAAAGCAAAATGATCTTGTTTTTAAAAGATACAGATCCTTTGGGATGAGAAAATAATGCTGCAGTTCTTGAAATGATACGGTCAGAATGTGCTCAAATTAAGATAAAACCACTTGATTCAACCAATTATTACCACATATTTTTAGCATTTTTTGCAGTGTAGAATTTTCAATTACTTTGTGGTCTGAAGTGTGTTTGTAAAAATACTGAAAAATGTTAAAAGAAGGGATTATTCTAATTGATATATTTGTTTCCAAACCTGTTTCCGAAAGCTTGTGTTGTGTTTATATTAATTTGTCCCTTTATTAGACCCACAGTGAGGAAATGTCAGTGTTGCATTGTTAGTTACAGAACAGTAGGAATGGCACAAGATAATGAACAATAAATCTATACCAGAGGTGGCAAACTCATTTAGGTCGAGGCTAAGTTTAAAAACACAAGACCTGGTTTGGGCCAAAAGTACTGTATACACATTTATTTTCATTATAACTTTGTTTTTACAATTTTTTGTATTTTGACAAATTTATTCAACATGAGTTTGAATATTATTTTTGAGTAGGTTTGGATTCAATCTCAACTATACATAATGTTAATATTATATATAGAAATATATAGTAGTACATTTACATCTGTACATGTTAGCAGCTGTGGACACATGTGATTCTGTATTGCACATTCTGACATTATTATTGCACAGCTGCACGACATGTGAGGTCAGGTTGGCAATGTTCGTTAGTCCTCATTGTTCGTTGTGCAGTCTGACAGCAGCAGGAAGCAAAGGATTAAAGCTATAATATGTTCCAATGGCTCAGTTGGTAGAGCATTGGCCGTGGAGCCTGAAGGTCATGGGTTCGAGTCCACCACAAGACCTACTTCACGACTCCCACTAATGTCTGCTGTCGTTGTGTCCTTGGGCAAGACACTTAACCCCACTTTGCCTAAAGCCCCCACTGAAAGACCAAGGCTCCTGTGGACTCAGCACCTGCAGGAGGATCAGTGAGGGGCTGGTGCTCTGTGTACTGGGTGCAGCTTTGACTGCCACCCTCCCGACCCAGAAATGGATTAAGGGGAAGAAAATGGATGGATGGAAACCAAACCAACACATATTTTTGCCATTAAAAGGATGGATTAGTCCGACACAAGGAAAATCAACAGAATTTTATTGGATTATAATCCCTCACAGTTCTTGTATTGCATGAAAACATAACATCATGCTTCATTGCCGCAGCCAAATCCAAAGGAATACTACGTATGTGGAACACCAGGCCACGCAGAAGTGTTTTGCCAAAAGCTAGTTCGCTTTAATACAGTTGTGCAGCTATGACAAATTCTAAACACCATTTTGGCAAATCTCTAAACCCTCACATTAGCCAAACGCACCATTCCCTAATCCCCTGCCCGTTCCATTTAACTGGCGCCTTTAAAACGATTCCCAGCACGCGCCCTGTCCGTGTAGACTTCCTGTGGGTGACCTGTATGCCCATATATGGCAGTCAGAGCTGGGATAGCCATTACTGTAGTGTGGATGGAGAGCTGGGCTGTGGGAATGAAAGGAGCTTAAGGGAGGTCGCCTTTGCTTCAGTCAGCTCAGGAGGGACCTGCAACTCATGGTCCGGACCCAAACCCAAGCTGCTCCTTGGTGGTTGGTTCTGTGAGTAAGTAAGTAAGTAAGTAATCTTTATTTATGAACCGCCTTTCACAGACCAGAGTCACAAAGCCGTTTACAATCGTGGGCATTTGTCTCTCACTTCACACAGAGATGGGAGTAAGGTCGAGAATATCTGTGTCTCCTCCTCCAATAGGAACCCCAGCATTACTGATTAACCAGTAGAAACATGAAGTAAAGCTCTTCTTGCTTGTTTTCGTCTTATTGACTGGCGCCCCTGACTGTATGTGTGGTTGGTGTAAGACCTGAGGAAGTGGCCTACCTCCTGCACAGACGCTGGAAGGCTCAGCTGCCAAGATCTCGATGCAGGATTTCTTGATGATCTGAAAGTAAATACAGAGAGAGAGAAGCCAGGTCAGTTTGAGGCATAAAAAACAAGCAGAAAAAAACATTGAAATTTGCAGGAGGTTGGGTTAAGTTCAAACATGTGATTCCTGTAACTACAACATTTATCCTTCAGTTCAGTTCTCTCTATTTACAAAACTCCACAGTCATACTCATTCTAATTTCTAAAGGGAACTGGCCTAGTGTATTTTCAATTAATGAAAATATAAAAAGCCAATCTAACTTTCTTTTGTCTGTCTATGTACTTTTGAATGCACTGGAGACGGCAGCGAGTCTTAAGTCTGAGGGATTTTATATTTTTGTCTTTCTTTTAAAGGAGCTATACCCGATTCTCCTGGGTTTTCTCAGTTTGGATGTTTAGCCCCGCCCCCAACTCGCTCACAGTCTTCTCATCTCCCCTACGCTCTCCTCCCACAGAGCCATCTAGTTTTATTTGCGATCTGATGCGTATGCTAACGTTAGCATTAGCGCAACTTCTTGTAAGCTGTACAACAATCACTGATGAAATAGTACAAAAGCAACGCACTGCTAACAAAATATATAACTGAAAGATTACCGCTAGTTCCGCGTCCGAATGTGGTCTGAGCACAGATCCGGTCCCAAAGCCGCAGGCCTCTCTGGAGGATACCAGGTAAGCTAACGGTAAGCTAACGCTAAGCTAACGGTAAGCTAGCCCTAGGCTAACGCTATGTATGTTCATCCGGGCTTGATTTCTTCTTTAATCATGTTTTGGCTTTAGTTCCCTCTTCTCTTCCTCACTGTTGTGTGGTTTGGGCTGTTTTGCTGTGTCTGCAGTTACAGCCAGAGGAGTTATAGCCACTTATGCTAACATGCTACTGTGTTTAGCAGCGCTGTAGAGGCTAGAGGACGCAGGCTGTTCGTTCTGTTAGTGGAAGAGAGCGTATGTCCCGCCAAGTCTCTACTCAGCACTTGAATTCATTCACAGCTGAATCAATGAGCTCAAGTTTTCAATGAAATCATAGATTATAATACAACTTGTATGTAGTAATAAGCATTTTTATAAACTCATTAGAAAAAAATTGGGTATAGCTTCTTTAATGTAATCATTTGTTGTAAAACTTTCTGGCTGTAAATGTTAGTGCAGCACAGTGTTCATGGTTTTTACAGTGATCCAGACCAGAGCACAGAGATGGTCCAAACCAAACAGATCAAGCTGAAATCCACTGGAAGAATGATAATTCTATGGTCCGAACCAAACTGACTCTGTATACACCACCTCTGCTGCTGTTGCACCTTTTTACTATAAGTAACTTTGAGAATTATTTATTTATTTATTTGTTTGTATGGATGTGTTTCTGCTCCCGGACACCTGGATTTCTCCATCTATCTTTCTATTTATATATCTATGTATCTATCTATCTATGTATCTATCTATCTATGTATCTATCTGTGGCTACTAAACATTACCTAAGGTGCCTCAAGCTAAATCCTATTTGTGTTGGTGTCTTATGTGTAAGAAAATAAAAATGACAAACGACTTTGAGTATAAGACATGCAGAAAACCACTATAACACGTCGAATAACCCGCAAAAACTCGTCCATCTTTGCACGTGACGTCCCCTTTAATGCACCCAGCAAACAAAAACAAACGTTACAAGGTGCAGAGAGAACAATGGAATCTGTCTGCCAACTTTTTTTTTTTACTGCCGGCCCCAAAACAGAGCTCTCTTTTGTGTGACATAATCCTCTCTGATCAGCACTTTCCAACAAGCTCATCTGGCAACCATCAAGACACATGCCACGTACAAGGGCCACTTACATCACCTCCATTCCCCACACTGATGCCTCAAATACACTGCCCTACAACTCTGCAGTGCAAAAAGTGTTGCTTTAATCAGAAACGAAAATACCGCAACAGGTTCCATCGGCCTTTTTGAGCTCTTTAATAAGTAATAAACAATATTCAATTCAATTTGACAGAACGCAAAACTGTTTCTTTGAAGTGATTGATTTACTTCACGTTTGTGTGTTGTTTCAAGGCAAAACTAACTAAATAAATTATTTCAGTATTGTACAGGGTGCTATAGAAATATTATACAGTACTTATTTGTCAACCAAAAATATAAAAATGGAAAATGAAGTATGTTTTTAAATTATTTTACATCAAAGTTTGGTCTGATTCACTTATTACAGTGTGGAGGCCAACACGAGAAAAGCTTAGCTCCTTTCAGCTTTGTTGGGTGAGAAATGTAAGTGGGTGAACTGTACGGCCTTGAATATGTTACTGTTGAGACCTCCAGTATCGACACAAAGAGCTGCAGTGTGCTGAGGGGCAGGTCTGAGCCGCCGTATTTGGGATTTCTAGCTCTGCGTTAAGTCGCCAAGAAACGGATTATTTACTGCAGATGAAGACGTGAGTGACTTCTGTGTTGAAAAGTCTGTGTACCGAATCTATGACTCCTCGGAGAGCGTGGAAGCCGCCCAGGACTGGAAACACGTGCTCGATGGTGTCTGCGATGGTGGCCAGCTGCAGGGAGAGAGAGAGAGAAGGAAATCAGGAGAATTTTCACGACACACATATTAGTGAAGTGCATTTTTGATGTTTGTGTTTGTTTGGACGATAAGCTCCAAGAGATGAACAGATGCAGTGAGGCAGACGGTAAAGCAGACAAGAAATAAGAACTTAATTCATAGACTGGAAACGGCAGAAAGTCCGATTCATGGTTTTACACTGGTCCAGACCAGAGCAGAGAGGATTCATGGTTTTACACTGGTCCAGACCAGAGCAGAGAGGATTCATGGTTTTACACTGGTCCAGACCAGAGCAGAGAGGATTCATGGTTTTACACTGGTCCAGACCAGAGCAGAGAGGATTCATGGTTTTACACTGGTCCAGACCAGAGCAGAGAGGATTCATGGTTTTACACTGGTCCAGACCAGAGCAGAGAGGATTCATGGTTTTACACTGGTCCAGACCAGAGCAGAGAGGATTCATGGTCTGAACCAAGTGGATCAGATCAAAATCTACTGGAAGAATGCTAACTTTTTGATAAATGCTAATGAAGTATTTAGCCTTTTACTTTGGACCAGAGCAGAGAAAATGGTCTGAACCAAGCGGCTGCTCCGCTGCTGGTGTGACCTGAAGGACTGTTGTTTATTAATTCAATTGTTAGATTTTTAGAATCATCAATGTATTTGTTTTGTTGGTTTGGATGGATGTGTTTTTGCTGCTACTGGACACCTGCATTTCACCAACAGGGATCAATAAAGTTGCTATCAAACGAACTAACTAAAGACAAAAAACACAAACTGACTGATGTAGACACACACATTTTGTCCAGGGTTTCCAGTCTGTTGGGCAGTTTGAACGCACACAGCAGCTCGGGTATTCCCAGGAGAGTGTAAGCCATAGATCAGCAGCGCGCCCTCAGTCTATCCTCATGCATTATACAGACTATGACATTCTTCTGTGCAGAGTTCCAAGGTCACAGCTGCACTTCTTGTTCTGCCCCAATATTTAACTCAATTCAATTCCATTCAATTTATTCTTGTATCTCGGAGGACTTTACACAACTCTGATCAGAGAATCAAACAGTCAAGAAATGCAATGATGAAAACACATTGGTATTGGTCCATAAGGGGCAGATGGCCAATGTCCTCACAGTAGGCTGATGCTTCGGTGTGGCTGCCCATGCCATAGATCATACAACTATCTGTATGAGCAGTGACATAAGACCGGACATGTGGATCCTAAACTGAGGCAGGAAATGAGACATGGAATTCTTACTGCGCACAATCAAGTAACAGCTGCACTTACAACAAATGCAAATAGAGGCATCTACAGAGGGGCAGCTACAGAGGGGCAGCTACAGAGGGGCAGCTACAGAGGGGCAGCTACAGAGGGGCAGCTACAGAGGGGCATCTACAGAGGGGCAGCTACAGAGGGGCATCAACAGAGGGGCATCTACAGAGGGGCAGCTACAGAGGGGCACCCTGGAGAGGGGCAGCTACAGATGGCAGCTACAGAGGGCAGCTACAGAGGGGCAGCTACAGAGGGGTATCAACAGAGGGGCATCAACAGAGGGGCAGCTACAGAGGGGCATCTACAGAGGGGGATCTACAGAGGGGCAACTACAGAGGGGCAGCTACAGAGGGGGATCTACAGAGGGGCATCTACAGAGGGGCAGCTACAGAGGGGCATCAATAGACTGAACAAGCCAAACGCTGGGGTTTCTGGGGTCATAGCTTAAAGAGTTCAGTGAATAGATGTATTCAGTCGTGTGAGAAAGCAGGGTTTTGTACAGTAATGGAAGGACCTTATGGGACCGCATTCATAATAAGTATATTGGAGGGTAGAGTAGAGTAGAGTAGGGTAGGGTAGGGTAGGGTAGGGTAAGGTAGAGTAGAGTAGGGTAGGGTAGGGTAGGGTAGGGTAGGGTAGAGTAGAGTAGAGTAGAGTAGAGTAGAGTAGAGTAGAGTAGAGTAGAGTAGAGTAGAGTAGAGTAGGGTAGGGTAAGGTAGGGTAGGGTAGAGTAGGGTAGAGTAGGGTAGAGTAGAGTAGGGTAGAGTAGGGTAGGGTAGAGTAGGGTAGAGTAGGGTAGAGTAGGGTAGAGTAGGGTAGAGTAGGGTAGGGTAGGGTAGAGTAGAGTAGAGTAGGGTAGAGTAGTTCTTCTATAGTCCTAAATCACAACAGTAGTTATCTCGGATGACTTTACAAAACTGTTGAATTCTCCAACACAGATCAGAAAATCAAACAGTTCAGACCAGTGGGGGCGGGTCCCAGGTCAAAAGTGGCCAAAATGCTGTCCTCTGACATACTGCAATACCACCCCGGGCCTGTGGGGGTGGACCCGGAATAAGAATTAACCAATGCTAACATATAGCATTAGCTGACCTCTGGAAAACGTCTTTACAGGATGGTCCAAAAGTAGTTCTTGGCCCAAAGCTCCGTTCCACATGTGTGTCAATGCTGAGGGGGGTGAATTTATTTGGACCAGTCTAGTTTAGTCGCTGTGGACTTTTGAAATCACTCGTCAAATGAATGGGGCTCATGCAGCTGACGCATACGCAGATGTATTTTTTTCACATTTTCCATCCCCCGCGGCCATTTTGAAACTGCCCATAGACCTCAGACGTTGTGGCACATTAGTTAGAACGGCGGAGATAGGCGTGACTACGTCTGTTAATATTTACAGTCTATGGTTCAAACACAGGAAAAGCAATGATGAAAAACACATATAGTGATTAGTCGATGAGGGGCAGATGAATAATGTCCATAAATGTTGAATGTTGAGGGTCCTGGATCAGCACCACCTTCCTTAGACCTTCCTTCATCTGCAACAAACAACTCTAAACACATTGAGGGAGGGATCTTCAACCTCCCACGGACAGATTCAACCGATGTATTTTAAGAGTGTGTCTGCAAATTCCAGTTCATACATCTCCATTGTGTTTACTAAAAAAAAAACCTGTGAGTAGAGAGCCATCACCTGCGTTTCATTGAAGTCTTTGACCCCCACACAGTACACGATGGCTCCCAGAGACCTGGCTCTCTTGGCCTGTTGGAAGAGAAAGAAGGAAGTCATATATCCGGCTCCTCCACAGCGGAACAGACCAGAGAGCCTGGTTTTTGGAGTAGCTCGGTTGGAGTGAGCGGCCATTACCTCGTTCTGAGCCGTGATAAGCTGATGTTTCTGCAGTTCGCCATCTGTTAGAGCGATGATCACACTCGCCGTGCCTTTCAACAAACGCAAAGTCAGACTACCTTCCTCCCAATTGGACTATTGTAACAGCCTGCTTACATGTCTCAGTAAAAAAAGATCTGGATCGTTTTCAAATTATTCACAATTCTGCTGCAAATTCTGTGCCCTAACCCACAGGAGAGCCCACGTTACTCCTATCTTGAAGTCCTTACACTGGCTCTCTGTCTCACACAGAATCAATAATAAAATTCTGGTACTGACATTCAGGGCTCTTCATGGTCACCTTTGGAATGAGCTTGCCCAGTCTCTGCGCATCTCAGAGTCTGTTGTTGATTTTAAGTCCCATCTTAAGACTGACTTAGGGTTAGGGTTAGAGTTTGGACAGGGTTTCTCACCTCACTGTGCATAGGCCACTGTGACCTGAGTTTAATGTTTTTGTTTTTAATCTGAAGAGCTTTGTGATCATGGTCTGTGTGAGGCGCTATACAAATCAACTTTGCTTACTAACTACAAACTCAAGAAAAAATGTTTCAAACCCAGAAATGACCAGATAAAAGCTTACCAAAGTTTTCTCTGTAGATCTGCTCGTTGGCCTGTCGAGGGAGAAAAGGTCGAGTCAATTATGAGTACATACTTTTCCGTTATGTTTTGTGTGTGAACATGGAGCAGGCTTACCTTTATCAGTCCCTTGTTGAAGTTGGTGTCTCCGCCCGGCATCACCCGTCGCAAAGAGGCGAGGCCTTTTTGAATGTTCACTCTGAGAATTCAAAGACAGTAAGACGTAACCAAAGGCCCTCGCACTGTTTCAAACATCAATAACTGAATATTAGGGCTGTCAAAATTATCGCGTTAAAGCAGGTTAGTCAAATGTTTTCATTAATTGCATTTTTTTTTTTAAATGCATTTGACGCATGTGGCGAATGTGGCCCATGCATCCCGTAAAAACACTCAGAAGTGTGCGGACACATGCGTGTGTAAGATGCCGACAGAGCAGAAAGGCCCTCTGGGAATTCCAGTTTAAAAAGAATACACACATGCACAGGTTACGCTAAGACACGCACACAACAAGCAGACAATAGTTCTGTGGCGTGTATGGTCTTGGAAACTACCACGTTACAGCGGTGCCGTGTTTTTGTCAAAGCGGCGTAACTTGCCTTGAAAAGTCAAGTTCAAATGTAGAATTTAAATTGGAAAACATTCAAGATGCAATAACATTTAGATGGGCACAAGGAAATGCACCAGAAAGCTCTATTCCCAACAGATGTGTAAATAAAACTAACCAAAAACAATAAGGGGCTGGTGCTCTGTGTACTGGGTGCAGCTCTGACTGCCACCCAGAAATGGATTAAGGGGAAGAAAATGGATGATTGGATGGAAAAACAATAAGGTAAAAAGACAAACTCTAGAATCGACCGCTAAAAGTACAAGGAGAGTCAAAATGTATTCTTACGCTTACTACACTACTACAGGGCTGGGCGATAAAACGATAACAATATATATTGCGATAGACATGTGTTCGATATCAATAGAAAACGGGGTCCATAGAATGTTCAATAGTTTAACTTCACTCCATAAGAAAAAACAGGAAGAAAATACAGGAAGTAAAGCCGAGTCAGAAGTGCGCGGCATTCTGGGGGATGTAGGCAGAGGCTTCTCGATCTATCACAGCCGGGCATGAACCGCAAAACATTCTGGGAAATGCAAAAACAAAACCCGCACTGTGCGTAGCGTCCATGGATCTAAAGATCGTGTTTCAAAGCCGTGACAATGGGTTTGCACGTCCGTGCGAGGAATAGCATGTGCGGCAGTGGACACAGAAACCTACTCTACTCTACTCTGCTCTACTTTAGTCTATTGTTCCAGTAGAAGACTAGATTTAAGTCGAGTCGTGTAGAGTAGGGCCGAGTAGGGCTGGTGGAAATGGGGCTCATGAGACTGAAAACTGGGTAAAGTTACGGCACAAAAACAGAAAGATTGTGTGGTACCTGTTTTCAGTTAGTTTCATGATGGTGGAGGCCTCTGAGGAGAAGGTTATGAAGGACATCCTCAGCATCGGACTGAAACACATGAAACACATCAACATCACGTGACGCCGTCTGGACAATTCACTTCAAAGAAAAAGTATCAAAGCTCGAAAGATCGAAAGATTGTTGCCTCGTTGTGTTTCTTGTTCCTTTGTAAAAGAAAGATAATGATGAATTTGCTTAATTTTTGTGAATAGTGTGTCTTTTTTATATAAATGCTTGGATTGTAGAATTCTTGAGAATATGTTTAAACTTGTATCAAGATCCGGTTTGGCTAAAGGTTCGAAACATTTTGACATTAACCCTTTAACCAACTCCTTGACGAAAGCAATGGAATATTTATTGTTGGGTTTTCAAAGTTATAGAGGCACTTTCAACATGAATATTTTGTTTGGACCCCACAGATTTCTCTACCAAATGGTACAGATGCAGTTTGATGGAGAAAGAGCCTAAAACCAAGTTCCCTAATGAGGTAGATTTAAGTCAGTTCCAAGCTTCAAGTCGAAGGGACTTAAAAACTGATCTACCAGTCGAGGAAACCATTAAAGCGTTAAATTACAGTCTCTGCCTTATGTGAACGGAACAGCACTTTTTCGTAGGCACAATTCCTAGCACTGACACGCTCCAAAACATTTCCTTTGGGATGTTTTTGTGTTTTGTCTCAGTCGTGACAAAGCCATATATTATCAGCTTCAGATGTGGTTTTGTTGTGACTTTAAGCTTGTACAGAGGCTTTTACAAAACGTGAGGAAGTGGAAGCCACAACAACATTTGGAAGAATTTGCTCAAAGAAAGGATAAAACTGGGCAAGAGCTCAGGTGTGTTCTGTCTGGTGCAAACTGGAGAAGTCTCGGACGGTTTTTCCAATGAGGTTTTACTGCAAATGGCAAATAATTCTTGTTATAATAATAAAAATAATACATTTTTAAAAAACAGTTAAAATACAAAGTCAAAAGCATCATGGACAGAGGAGAGTGTGGCTATGATGTTAGTGAGTTGGTGTTACGGAGGTCAGGGGGGAGAGTGTTCCAAAGCTGGGGAGTAGAGCGGCTGAAGGCTCTGGTCCCCATGGTGACGAGGAGGAGGGAGGACCAGGAGCTGCAGGGAGGAGGAGGAGCGGAGGTTGTGGATGGATGTAATCTGATGTGGTTGATGGAGGGGGGGAGGACAGGGGTGATGTGGTTGATGGAGGGGGGTGAGGACAGGGGTGATGTGGTTGATGGAGGGGGTGAGGACAGGGGTGATGTGGTTGATGGAGGGGGGTGAGGACAGGGGTCATGTGGCTGATGGAGGGGGGGAGGACAAGGGTGATGTGGCTGATGTGGACAGGGGTGATGTGGTTGGGGGGTGAGGACAGGGGTGATGTGGCTGATGGAGGGGGTGAGGACAGGGGTGATGTGGTTGATGGAGGGGGTGAGGACAGGGGTCATGTGGTTGATGGAGGGGGTGAGGACAGGGGTGATGTGGTTGATGGAGGGGGTGAGGACAGGGGTGATGTGGTTGATGGAGGGGGTGAGGACAGGGGTGATGTGGTTGATGGAGGGGGTGAGGACAAGGGTGATGTGGTTGATGGAGGGTGTGTGTGTATCTTGTATCAAGTAAATTTATTTCTAATGCACTAAAATAAACCTGGCTTTTAATAAAACTACTTGGTAAAGAACAATACATTTAAATATTTTTTCTAATGTCACTTATCTGATTTTGCTATTAATCTATTCATAGTCTAGGGCTGCACCGATACCGATACTGGTCGATACCATAGGCTTGTACCCGTACCCGTACTCACACCTTAGGACCCGATACCCGCGGCTGATACCCACATTTTTTTATTTACCACAGCGTCACGTCAGCAGACAGCTGTGCGGTACGTGTTGCCATGGTGATCCCCCACAGTTTGTAGCAAAAAAGCAGGCTAGCAGTTAGCAAGTTAGCAACCCGCAAGCTAGCGGTAAGCCGGCTAGTGGCGAGCAGACAAGAGTAAAGTGGGCTGTACGTTGTGGCAAAACTGTCACGAGGTGGATCCCAAACAAACACATATAACACCAGCAACTTGATAAAACTCTCCACAACACGGATCTATGAAGTATAGCACCTTTGCTAGCACCAAAGCTAATTCTTTCTTCGAGGGGAATATGACAGTGGCTCTTATTGTTGACTGTTAAAACAAGTGCTAAAATTAAATTAAATTATTTTCGTATTGTTGAAATGAGAAATAAAACGTTTAAAATGTTAGTTGTATTAGTTTTATGAATAACACAATGCAGTACTATTTACAGTCTATCTGAAGTACTCGTATCAGTAAGTACTCAAGCTAAAGTACTCGTACTCTTATCGGTTTTGAAAACGGTGATGAAAACAGTGGGACCAGTGCATCCCTAATTCTTACAGAAACACATGGATTTGGTTTTATTGGGCAATATTTGAATTCAGTTTTAGTTTTAAAAAGTAGGTCTACAAAAAGACTCCAGTTTTAAAGCTCTTTGCTGTTGTAGAGATGAGTTTAAAGACCTTATGACTGGTTTGATTTATTTAGAAATACAGTTTTAATACCATTTTATATTAGAAGAGAACTACTAAATGTTTCAAAATCAGTTGTTGTTTTTTTTTGTCTGATCCCCCCAAATCGAAAAAACCCCATAGCAACGCCCTTAGAAACAAAAAAACTTCACAGCCCTTGGTGACGTCAGAACGGGTACGTTTCAATGCTGTAAGTTGTTTACAATTTGGTATTCGTTCTTTTTTCGCGGATATTCAAGATGACAAGGCCGTGTACAGCAAGTCTAAAATAACTACTAGAATGTAACATTTCGTTGTCACTGAGATAGTCCAGTGGTTGTGTTGATGGACTTCCAATCCAGATACTTGGGTTCAATTCGCATCTTGGACATTTTTTCACACTCAAAACGGCAATTTATGTGTAGTGAGCAATTGTCACCTGTAGAGTGCAGTATTGTGTTGGGAACCAGTGGAGAGAAGAGAGAAAAGGCAGTCCTGTGGCATAGATCCATGGTTTTCAATGCATGGGCGTAACCCGCTACGACGTCACACACAGGTTAGAGCATAGACAACTTAAATTCATGAAAAACACGTTCTTTTTATAAAATATAGGATTTTTTTTGCCGGAATCTCTTTCAAATTGACATTGTCATGCAATTTTGATATCCACTATTTTTTTTTTTTAAACCCGTCATAAGGTCTTTAAGATTAGGCTGTAACTGACTTAGCACATGTGTAGCCTCAGGGACACTTTTTATTCTACTTTACTGAAGCGACCACTCTGTAAAATAGGGTAATTCTTCAGAGACCTACGTTTTGTTACTACAGGAAACAGAAAACATGAAGGTTGTGGGTTCGATCCCCCCACGAGACCTTCTCCACCGACTCCCACTGCTGTCCGCTGCCGTTGTGTCTTTGAACATGACACTTAACCCCACTTTGCCTGAAGCCCCCACTAAAAGCCACCCCCCACTCCCAACTCAGAAAGGGATTAAGGAGGATTAACAGGTCCTGGACTGGTCCTAGTAGCCTGGTCCTAGACTGGTTTAGAGCAGTTTCAGCTTGGAGTGAGTGTTACCATAGCAACACTTGAAGCAGTTAGAATTTAGTTTAGCTTCCGTTAATTTGAATAGGAACTGAACCCGGTACACATCATTTTAATTTGTTTAATGTAGATTTACAGTCATATGGGACCTCTTTCTGGACCTGCACCAATATAAAAAAGTATAATACATAAAACCAGTGACTGTATCTGTGCACAAGTATCCATTCATAAACACATTATAAATACCTTTTGAATTTCACAGCCAGGTTCTCCACAAAGTCATAGATTTGTACCCAGTGCTGATTCACGCTGCCCGACCTGAAACACAGCACATCACACACTGAATGCATTGAACAGCCATATTGACAGGCGCTGACAAAGAGAGGAAAAGTCTAGAGACTGACAGTCGTGGTGTTAGTTTAATTTAGCGGTCTGGGTTATGAGCTGACCCTGGAGGCTGAGGAAATGAGCTCTGTCTCCCCAGGGGGCCGTCCATAAACCTGACATTTACTAGTAACACAAAACAGCTCTGACCATTAGCTCTGTATCAGCAGTCCAGGTACACGTTTCAATCTTCAATAGGCATTTTAATTCAATTCAATTCCAAACAATGTATTCTTGTATCCTCCCCCCTGGACTGCCACCTTAACGTTGTGGGGGAGTTTGAGTACTCGGGTGATCCTGGGAGCTATGCTGTCTGGGGCTTCATGCCCCTGGTAGGGCCTCCCATGGCAGACAGGTCTCGGGTGACGAGTCAGACGGAGAGCATTCTGAAGACACCATGGACAGCACGAATATGAGAACAGTGACGTCGACCCGGCATGGCGCAGCCGGGGCCCCACCCTGGAGCCAGGCCTGGGGTCGGGGCTCGTATGCGAGCGCCTGGTGGCCGGGCCTTAGCCCACGGGGCCCAGCCGGGCTCAGCCCGAATGGACGACGTGGGCAGTCCCTCCTGTGGGCCCACCACCCGCAGAGGGGTCCGTGGTGGCGAAGCGGTGCAGAGAGGACTGGGCGGCAGTCGAAGGCGGAGACCTCGGCGACCCAGTCCGCACGCGCAACACCTGGCTCTTGGGACGTGGAACGTCACCTCACTGGGGGGGAAGGAGCCCGAGCTCGTGGGGGAGGTTAAGAGATACCGACTAGAGATAGTCGGCCTCACCTACACACACAGTTTGGGGAGGCTCGTAGCTGTGGTCGTAAGGTCTCTGGTGCTGGTCCCGGTGGTAACCCCCGAACACAGTGGTGGACACCGGCAGTAAGGGATGCCGTCAGGCAGAAGAAGGAGTCCTATCGAGCCATGATGGTTCGGGGGACTCCTGAGGCAGCTGTCCAGTATCGGCTGGCCAAGCGTGCCGCGGCCCGGGCTGTTGCAGAGGCAAAAACCCAGGACTGGGAGGAGTTCGGAGAGTCCATGGAGCATGACTATCGGTCGGCCTCGAAGAGATTCTGGCAAACCGTCCGGCGCCTCAGGAGGGGGAAGCAGTTCTTTGCCAACACCGTGTATGGTGCGGGTGGAGAGCTGCTGACCTCGACTGGGGATATTGTCGGACGGTGGAAGGAATACTTTGTGGAACACTGGACCAGCTCTATACTCTCCATCGGATACTCAAGGGTTCATGGGAGTTCGCCCAACCTGTCCACATATGTGCTTTGTGGATTTGGAGAAGGCGTTCGACCATGTTCCCCGGGATGTCCTTTGCGGGGTCCTCCGGGAGTATGGGGTCCGGGGTCCTCTATTGAGGGCCGTTCGATCCCTGTATGACCGGAGTCAGAGCTGTGTTCGCATTGCCGGCAGTAAGTCGGACCTGTTCCCGTTGCATGTTGGCCTCCGCCAGGGCTGCCCTTTGTCACCGGTTCTGTTCACTGTATTTATGGACAGAATTTCTAGGCGCAGCCAGGGGCCGGAGGGGGTCCGGTTTGGCGACCACAGGATTTCATCTCTGCTGTTTGCGGACGATGTTGTCCTGTTGGCTCCAACGAACCAGGACCTGCAACATGCACTGGGACGGTTTGCAGCCGAGTGTGAAGCGGCTGGGATGAGAATCAGCACCTCCAAATCTGAGGCCTTATATCAATAACTTAACACAAAAGCCTTCGAAGAAAAAGCAGACTGTTGAACGGTGGGAGCAAGCCTTGGATTGGGCCTTGGATTATATCAAGTCTATTACATTTTTAGTTTTAATTTAAGATTAAGATTGAGATGAAGAGATCCTTTAATGGTCATACAGCGGGGAAATGTCAGTGTTGTATCAGCAGTTACCATAGGAATCAGGAGCATACAGCACAAGATAAATGAGCACTGACTCTATTCTAAAATAAAATAAAATATCTAGCTTCAGCATAATAAGGAAGAAAAACTAAAATCTCCAACTTTAGCCTAATAAAGAAGTCTAGAATCTCTAACTATCCTATTGGCAAGTGGAAAATCAGTATATACTCGTGCAGACATATATAGTTGTATGTTTACGTCTGTACATGTTAGCATCATGAGGGTCTGGGACAAAGTTACAGTATTACACAGATGTACAACATGTGAGGTCAGGTCAGCAGTGTTCGTTAGTCCTCATTATTCGTTGTACAGTCTGACAGCAGCAGTAAGGAAAGACCTGTGGAACCTCTCTTCTGCTTCACACATGGTGGATCAGTCTGTCACTGAAGCTGCTCTCTCCACAGATGGAGTGCATGTGAATCCTATATTTTTTAGAATTCAGAATAGTTTTGTCAAATCTAAATCCTTCTTGGAGCAACCTGGAAGGGAATGGCAAGCTAGGCAAGGCAAGGCAAGTTAGACATAGAGACAATCAAATAAGGTGTTCAGATCATACGTAATCACAGTATATTAACAAGAGTAAAGATGGCTACTGGTAGTTCCCGAGCCACAGGTTGGAGACCGCTGCCTTACAAGCTTCACACGATCCAAATATAAAGCTAGAGGTGAATACAAGGCGAGGTGTCTGGGTGAAAATGCAGAGCTAAGAGAATAAGCCACATGAGACTTGCAGATGCACGGCCTTTAAAACCCTGACCAAAAGGACCAACGCCAAGTTCTTGAGCGAATTGTTCCATTACAGCAGCAGAGAGGAGGGCGAGTAAACACACGGTCAAACCTGAGGTGTGGGGGATGAAGCTTTGGGGTGAGTTTGAGGACTCCACGCCATTTTTGGTTCTCACTACCTTCCTTTTGAGCTGGTGTTGACGTTGGATTGGCTTGATTGTCTGTGGCGGCTCTGCGATCGTGGGACCCAGGCCTAGCTTTGCACTTTTGCTCACCTGTCCAAACAATGTCGGTCAAACGGAAGTGGGGCATTCGATTCAGCGATTTGATGTGTGTCTGTGTGGTGCTTTGATCACGCTTTGAGAAGTCTGCAGTGGTTTAATGGGTTTCGGGGGCGAAGGATTGGGGAGGGGATGGTGTGAGGACATATGCAAACTAACCTCCTGCTCCACCCAGCGCCTACACCACCTCTTTACCACCACCTACGATAGTTAGTCACTTATTATGTATTTTTATGTATGGATAGATGTGTTTCTGCTGCTGGCTACCTTCATCCTATGGGGAGCAATAAAGTATCTATCTATCTGCAGTGTTGAGGAGTAATGGAATACATGTAACGCCATTACCTATTCAGAGTACTCTTTCTGTCTAGTTTGTAGAATAGTTACTTTCTGAAAACCACAGGAATACATACATACTCACATTAAGTTTTAAGGTAGAAATGGAAAAGAAAACATTGGGTATTTGGGTAAGGGAAGATTCTATTTTATCTGTTTGTTAAACCGCTGTTGAAGCACTTTTATATGTTTTACAAAAATCAACCCTACCCCTAACATTTATTGAAGTTGTCGTTTTAATATTTAGAAATGTATCAGTTTTGTGAATAAACATGAATTTACAATTAATAAAGTATTCTACCCAACACTGTCTATCTATCTATCTATCTATCTATCTATCTATCTATCTACCAACCTATCGACATATCACTATACCGACCTACCTACCTACCCACCTACCTAGTACCTACCTACCTATCTATCTATCCAAAAGAAACCAAACACCTCTGGTCCAGATTGTATTTGGGCTGGGAGTGAGATAATGGTTTGTCTTTGGTCCTGATTTACTTTGGCAGAAGAAACACACTGAGGATGTGATGACAGCAACGAGGTCAGTCCGGTCACGTCACAACATCCTGAAGGTCACGAGATAGTAAGAGCAGGTGTGTGTGTGTGTGTGTGTGTGTGTGTGTGTGTGTGTGTGTGTGTGTGTGCGTGTGCATGTGTGTGTGTGTGTGTGTGTGCGTGTGTGCGTGTGTGCGTGCGCATGTGTGTGTGTGCGTGTGTGTGTAAGTTTCAAAGCAGAAGAAGCAGAATGCTAACTTCCAACTGGGGTACCTAACTTCTTTGTTTGATAGATTATTTTACATGTGTTATTTATCTTTAAGAATACATAAATAAAGTTTGTCCAACCAAAAAAGTAAAATGTGGCCAAATAAACTGCCTTTAGATAATAATAATAATAATATTGCATTTTTTAATGTAGCGTTTTTTGGACACTCAAAGACGCTTCACAAGCTATTCACCCAAAACACGCTGGTGATAAACTACTACTGTAGCCACAGCTGCCCTGGGGCACATCTGCCCCTCTGACCACCACCAACCATTCATATACACACACACACACACACACACAAACACCAGGCTCATTCTAATGTGGGTGAAGTGTCTTGCTCAAAAACACGACAGCAGTTTGCCCCTTTACAGCCGCAGCTTTCCCACTGTAGCACCTGGAGTTCCCAGAGGTCTCCCATCACATTACTACCCACACCCCGCCCTGCTTAGCCTCTGACAGAAAGATATTTAGACACTATTTGAGCTGATAGGCAATAAGACTGGTCCTCTCTTTTCATCTGACAGAGGCAAAACTAGTGATAGAGAGTCAGGAACTAATGTGGTAGGTTTGCTAATTTTGTTGTGGTTTAAAATTAGGGACCCCAGCTTTAACTAGCCCGTATATAAAGTCCATATGTGCCTCACTTTAATTAGGTCTGACTGAAAATCTATCTATCTATCTATATGTATGTAACTATCTATCTATGTATCTATCTATGATCTATCTATAAATGCTAGCAAACAGGCTAGAGGCTATACTGTTTTAGCATCAGTCAGTTTGGTATAGTCTTTGCTATTTCTTTCAGAGGAGTTCATGATTTTAATTAGAAATGAAGGAAGATGTTATGTTAAGATGTTATGTTGATATTATCCACCACCACCAGAACTCTTTGGTCCCAGATTTGTGCAGGAGTCAAAGCCATTGCTCTGTC